CTCAAAACTTCCCCCTAATCTTAGATATGATCTGGTGACTACTACTTGGGGGCCCTCGTCTGACCTAAAAAAATTAGTGATGCCAACTGATCACTGAGAGTTTGCCAATCTCCGGCTTCAAGAGAATATTCAGAGAACTATCAACTACGTCCATCAACAACTCCTACTTGACATAATCATCTCTCCTTATCTGACCACAGCACCAGCTGCAGTTGAAGTATTTGTACCCACCTGCTACTCCAAGGAAAAGGAAGGAGACAATAAAAATTCCAAGTGCTCCCATGGCTGGCCTCTAAATTGTTGCCAGATAGTTTTTAGTTCTGAGGGCAAAGGCTGTTTGGAGAGTAAGCTGGAGATTGAAAGAGACCTGATCAGAACAGGTCATCTGAATAAAAAACAGCTTCACTTTCCTGGTACTAGTAGCCACTCTCTGATATTCAAACATTTGCTCCATTAGGTCATTGAACTCTTGGGCAAAAGCCATGCTGAGTTACTATGCAGGCAGTCTTTCATTTATGATCATTCATAGTTACAATGGCACTCACCAAGTTTTCACACTTATGACTGTTGCAGCATCTCCATGGTCATGTGATGAAAATACAGATACATATTTATGACGGTTGCAGGGTCCCAGGGTCATGTGATCCCCTTTTGAAACTTTCTGATAAGCAAAGTCAATGGGGAAGTCAGATTCACTTAACAACCATTTTACTAACTTTACAACTGCAGTGATTAATTCAACAACTGCGGCATGAAAGGTTGAAAAATGGAGCAAAGTTCACTTAACGTGTCACTTTGAATTGTGGTCATAAGTCAAGTACTGCCTTACTACATAAAGCAGAAATATGAGATGCCTTACGTAGACATCAGTAGCACCTTTACTGATGGATGGGTATCATTATATATACCTGGATAGATCTTTATTGAATATACCCATGATTCGTTTGCCAGACTTAATTCCAAGATTTGCTTTGACCCTTGGCACCTTTGATCTCACAGTGGATTGTGGTTCAGTTTCTCCCAGAGGTTTTGCTACCCATCAATTATAATACCAACCACTGCTCTGTCTAATACTTACCCTCTTATCTTCTAAGTACCCTGCTGACCACTCTGCACAAAAATATGTTGTCACTCATACAGTAAAAGTTGCAGGGCTTTGCCACTCAGATTAGAGTTTCAGAAATAGCATGAAGGCAATTATTTTAAATCCAGCACTCTTGCCTTGCTATTATTTTAATATGAACCAAAAGAGAAAATTAATCCAGCATTTTAAAATTTCTCAAGCAAATCAATGTGAAAAAGTATGGTTAATGTATATTTTGAAGTTATGCTTTTAAAGTGGAATTCTATGTCTGGTAGACCATTTCCAACTGGTCATTTGTTGTATAAGGTTTAAGTAAACATGAATTCATTTTGGAATATCTGTACTTTGATCATTCTGTGCAGAAAACTCATGCCCTGTCCACTCATATGGGGAGCTGGACAGATAGAACATTTGTTGGCCTTTTGCTCTGAAACCAGTCAATAGCTATTCCAGGATCTGGATTCAAGAACAGAAAAAAGTAAGGTTTATCATGACCATAACAGGTTTGAATTTAAGATGAATCTAGAAACAGGATTGGCAGATTTAAATTATATTTTTCCACCACCATCTCTCTTTAAAGATTTGATCTTATCTAATGGAGATCAAGATAACACTGGGATCAAATGTTAAAGGAATATTTAACTACGATAATTTCAACTGCTCACATTTATTCATTCTACTCACCTATTACGTCAGTGAAAGTCAATTGATTCTGAGGCTCCCTTACATTTATTGTTCTCCGCTGCTTGTATATATTCATGATCTGGCAATAGTACAGTATACCTGGATGGCACCTAATTCAAAAAGTAGTTTTAAAACCAATTGGACTAATTTGTCAAATGAAGTAGTGAGAAGTTTTCAAACAGAGACTGGATAGTTATTGGTTAGAAATAGTCCAGTGTTTCCCAAACTTGGCAGCATAAGCGCACCAACATGCCTACCGTCACTGTCCTATTGTTTCTTTTTTTATTTGTATCCATTTCATGTATTCATAACTATGTTTATATTTATACCTGTTATCTAATACTTGCTTGACAAATAAATAAATAAATAAAATATAAATAAATAGATAAACAAACAAATACTAAATAAATAAATAAATAATAATTCTGGGAGATCAAGCCTACACATCTTAAATTTGTCGTGATTAAGACATACTGCTATTGTAGACCCTGCATTGAGCAGGAGGGTGGGTTAGATTACCTTGAATGTTTCTTCACGATAGCTAGTCCTTGACTTACAACCACAACTGAGCCCCAGTTTTCTTTTGTTAAGTGAATTTTGTCCCATTTTACAACCTTTCTTGCCACAGTTGTAAAGTGAATCTCTATAGTTAAGTTAGTAAAATGTTTAAATAAATCTGGCTTCCCCATCAACTTTGCTTGTCAGAAAGTCACAAAAGGAGCTCGTAAATATGAACCAGTTGCCAAGTATCCAAATGTTGATCACGTGACCAAAGGGATGCCACAACACTTGTAAATGTGAAAAATGATCATAAGTCACTTTTTTCAGGGTAACTTTTTTCATTGTAACTTCTAACAGTCACTAAGTAAACTGTTATAAGTCTAGGACTACTTATAATGATTCATTAGTAGCTGAGAACTGTTGCCTGGTATCTACAGTTGTAGAGGACGGAAGGAGTTTTAGTCACAAGATTTCTGCCTGTCATATAATCATTACAAGAGCAGAACATTCAAACCAGCCAACCGGCCAACCAGCCAACCAAGTTTGTCTTTCCTTGATCAAAGCTCAGTCTCCCTGACCTTTTCTCTGAAAATCATCTGTGCCTAGACTTTCTGGGAAATTAGCAGGATTCCACCAGGTACTCTGGCGCATCTTTGTACATGCATCCTCTGATTTTGGCTCAGCCAACTTCTACCGTGTTTCTCACAAAATAAGCCCGGGCCTTTTTTTTTTTTTGGACCCCCGAAAAAATGGCTAGGCCATCTTTTGGGGGGTGACTTAATTTCCCCCCCTCTTGCATCCTCAGGTGGGCAGGTGGCGACGGCTTGGATGTTGACCTCGGTGTTGGTGGGGCACTTCGTATCAGGAGACCTTCCGCCACCATTGCTTTCCCTTCTCCCCGTGCTGCCGTGGCATTTAGAGCAATGCCGCAGCATTTGGCTCAGCCATGCGGCATTTGGCACAGCCACGTGGGGCCTGCCAGGGCTCCTCCCTGCAACCGGAACCCGGTGGAGACACTCAGCTTCAGGCGCTCTTGTCGCCGCCTTCCCAGGCATCATTCGAAGGCAAAGCCCATTCTTTTAAAAACAACGCCCTACTACGACAAAACCTCCCCTACCCGAGAGGGCAGCCCAACCCCATGTGGGGAGGCGAATCTCCCGGGGCTGTAGCGCAGGATCGGTCCACCCCAGGAGAAGCGCCCAGCCGCCATCCCTGCCTGGTGCCGGGCAGAGCACGAAGAGCCTCACCTGGGATGCCCAGTGCAGCTGACAGGTGGCCCGCATCGCGTCCTCCTCCGAGCTGAGCCCTGCCAAGTGAGTGCCTCTGCCCAATGCCCATGCCACTGCAGCATTTGGAGCTGCCAGCCGGTTTGGAGATGCGTGGGGATGGGGACGGGCTGGGTGAGGGATGGAAAGGTTGGGCGGCTTCAGGCTCTCTCCGCCAGACCTGCCGGCCAGGGAAGCAGTGCTGCTGTCTCCTCGCCTCCCTGTCCACGGATGGGTGGGTGCTATCACTGCCTCGGGCAGCCTCTCCTGGTGGCCCCTTCGGGTTCGGGCTGGAGGGACTTGGGAAGCCAAGCTCGGGTCGGCCCAGCTCTTTTGCTTGGCAGGTGGGCACTCACCCGCAGCTCGCTCTCCCAGCTCTGCCCAGCCTGCCTGGCTCTGGCATGGCCCTGGCAGGGAGGTGCTCGCTGCCTTGCTGAGAGCTCCACCACCGGGCAGAAGGGCCTGCCTGTCAGCTGCACTGGGCACCCCAGGCGAAGCTCTTCGTGCTCTGCCCAGCGCTAGGCAGGGATGGCATCTGGGCGCTTCTCCTGGGGTGGGCCAATCTTGCATTGCAGCCCTGGGAGTTTCGCCTCCCCATGTGGGGTTGGCCTGCCCTCTCGGGCAGGGGAGGCTTTGTTGTAGAAGGGCATCGTTTTTAAAAGAATGGGCTTTGCCTTTGAACGATGCCCGGAAAGGCAGCGACAGGAGCGCCTGAAGCTGAGTGTCTTCGACAGGCTCCGGTTGCAGGGAGGAGCCCTGGCCAGCCCTGCATGGCTGCGCCAAATGCCGCATGGCTGCGCCAAACTCCACAGCGTTGCTTTAAATGCTGTGGTACCATGCGGAGAAGGGAAAGCAACGGTGGTGGAAGGTCTCCCGATATGAAGTGCCCCACCAACTCCGAGGTCAACGCAGGCAGCACCATATCCAGGTATGCAACAAAAGTACTTCCTAACGGCAAGCCCCCCCTGACATTCCCCATTTTGCATGTTTAATATAGGCCTTAATTTGGGGGGAGGGGCTTAATTTCATTTTACGCCTATAAAACATGCTGGGACTTCCTATTGGGGGAGGCCATATTGTTGGAGAAACACGGTAGAACTTCTGGAAGAGCTCAGCCTGAAACAAGCAGAGTTACCAGTTGCCACACGCCTTAACCTTTATCTGTAGCTTGAGCATGCAAGACGTAATGTCTTGCTGAGATTTGTAATCATGGAGAATAATCCTCCTCCTGCCTCGCCTGTCCACAGAGAAATAATTTTAAAGATGATGAGCAAGTGTGAGATGGATGGGGAAAACACTATAACTGAGATAGGACAATCCCTTCACCTCCACGTGCTTTGTGGTGGAGCACCTGTTAAATCTGTCAGCGGGGGAAAAAAACAAGATAATTACACCGTTCCCTTGAAGCTAGAGCTATATAATTGGAGCCCTCACACTTCTCCTGTGTTTATGAGGGGCTCGAGACCATGAGGTTCCCAGCTTGGATTCTTCTCCTGGAGATGCTGTTTCCCTCAGCTGCCCAAGGAAGACTACTCCGCTTCGTTACGCTGGTACATAGACTGGGATAATGGCAGAGCTAGGAATCTCATGGTTTCTCCCCCAACAAGATGATATTAACCAGTTTTCTCCCATTAAGTGCTCAAACCCGTTATTTTCTCCCAGTCAGGATAGCTAAAGAGAAAGCTGGCTGGAGTCAGAAGAGCAGAATGCAGAAGCTATAAAGAACATCCTATTAGAAGAAAAAGCTGATAATCACTGGGAATTTGCAAAAATAGACAGGACAACTGTTTGATTGGGATGGTATAAGGCTCCTGTTTTGAGCAGTGAGGTTAGACTAGGATCCCTGAAATTCCTTTCAGGCCTGATTCCATGTTCTATGTTCTTTTTAGACCAACCTGTAGCCGCGAATTGAAAATCACTGTTTGTTTGGTTCTTAGGATGGGTTAATTAGATCTTAGGTGAAAAAGATGAAGATCTAAGTTGTGGACTGTATAGAGTTTGATCTGGTAAAAGATGTTGATTGAGTTTAGTGCCTGTTCAACTTTAATGCTATATATGATTACTTTGTCATGTCTCCATAGCTAGTTGCATGAAAAAGAAAAAAAATCGGTCTTGTGCAAGTGACAGAGAGAACTGAAATATACTTCAGAAGGATGAGTTTTATAGCAACAGAAGTTCTAATATGTTATTATGTGCATTATAATGTTATTATAATGAGGTCTAGAAAAATGTTTCTGTACATCCATCCATCCATCCATCCATACATACATACATCTAATGCTACCAGAAATCCTACTTCTTAAGAGTCTGCTACCATTATCTTTCCATGCCAGTTTAGGATATGGTAGAAGAAATCTTGGTTTAGGGATTATATATTATCAGCAGTATTATAGCTCTGTTCCTCAGAAAAAAGAAAATATGGAAAAGAAAGTCGGTGTGTGTGTGTGTGTCTGTGTGTGTCTGTGTATCTGTGTGTCTGTGTAAATGAGAGAGAGAAATGGATTTAGTACAAAAAGAAAAATTATAGTAGGAACTATTTTGTATTTGTGGGTCAAGAGGGTATTACCTCTTTTTAAAGTCTTTACTATCTTATTTCTGAACTTTATGGGTGAGCCCAGATATCGCAGTCCTCCATTTCTAATTTATGCTCATCTGGGTGTTGATCACTGGTAGGGAGGTGTTTTGGACTTTTCGTTCACTTTTTGGTTTATCACCATGGCTTGCCCTGTCAATATTGGTGGGAGTGTCTTGATCAGGGGTGGGGTTCTACCAGTTCTGTCCACCTCTGTAGAACCGGTAGCTCTGAAGAGCAGCAGACATAGAACCAGTTCTATGTCTGCAGATGTTTTTGCCCACCTGGACTCTTACCTGACCTTTATTTCCTGATTTTTTCAACTTCAGCTGCCGTGCGAGGCACAGCTGCAGTTAAAAAAGCAGGAAAAAATGGCTTTTTGAAAGGCTGCTTCTCTGCACGCAGCGTGCTGATGACGATTTACAGGCACACACCAGCAGTGTGCAGGGAAGCGCATCGTAAATCACCGAACCTCATAAATGACTGAACTGGTAGTTAACCCTGTCGGATCCCACCCCTGGTCTTGATGGTTCTTTGGTTGGGCTCAGAGGTGGTATTCAGCAGGTTCTGACCAGTTCTGGAGAATCGGTAGCGGAAATTTTGAATAGTTCAGAGAACTGGCGAATACCACCTCTGATTGGCCCCTCCCCTATTCCCAATGGAGTTGGAAAGAAGGTTAGTGGGAGCAGGTGGGGAGGGAATGGGATTTTTCAGTATCGTTCCCCTTGAGTGGAGTGGGAATGGAGATTTTACAGTATCCCTGCCCACCAAGCCATGCCCACAGAACCGGTAGTAATTTTTTTTTGAATCCCATCACTGGTTGGGCTGTTTACTGTTAGCTTGCTTGGTAGTTCCTTCATTGGAGTATTATTTACTTCTTGATTGTTGGTCTGATGTTAATCTTGTGGTTAATCTATGCTAGTCTAGGTATTGACAGCTGCTGCGGAGATATTTTGGACTTTTTTGTTCCCTCTTTAGCTTGTTAATTGCCCCTTTTGCACAATATGTAGATGTTATTTATGTCTATGTGTCTGTTGATTGCTGATTTGTCAGAATGCCCAATCTTCCAGGAATTCTCTAGTATTTTTGGACTTTGCTTGGATGTAGGATGGTCATGGTTTCCCAGTTGAAACTGTGGTTGTCTGTCTATATATTGTGAAACTAAAAAATTTTCATCAAGTCTCTTGATTGCTAGCTGGTGTTCATAACTACACTTGGCTAGTCTTCTGCCTGTTTGTCTTACATAGTGCTGTTGCAGTCCTTACATATTATCTTGTGGATAACTCCTGTTTTTTCTTCTGGGCTGCTGGGTCTTTTGGTTTACTTAGGATGTTTTGGAGGGCTTTAGTTGGTTTGAGTACTACATCAAGGCCATGTGGTTGTAATAGTCTGTTGGTAGTTTCTGATATGTTTTTGGTATAATGGCAGTGTTATCCTTTTTATGATGTGTTGGTTGTGCTATGTTGGGTTGAGTGGTCAGGGACCATTTTAATGAAGTTGCAGATTATTACAGAGACATAGATATAAACAACATCTACATACTGTGCAAAAGGGACAGAAAGACCAAAACAGCTCCCCAGCAGCTATCAACACCCAGATGAGCATAGATTAACCACAAGATTAACATCAAGAAGTAAACAATTCCCCAATCAAAGAATTACCGAGCAAGATAACAGTAAACAGCCCAACCAAAGAATCACCAATACAACTCTCACCAACATTGACAGGGCAATCCACTAGAAAATAAATTGAGGGTGGAGACTTCCGGTGGCACCTCCCTCATTGACGGACTGGAGACCATGATCATGCATGGCTTCGATCTGTGCTGTCTTGTCGGAGGGCCCCAACCATGTGCTTTTGAGGCCAGAACCACCCTGTAGGTGAAGAAAGGGGAGACTTCCAGCTGGGTTGAGGGGAACCATATCTCCCCTCCCTGGCTAGGCATACTCCCCTCTGAAGACGGGCTGTAGCAGTGGTCGAATATGGCCACCCTGGAGTTAACCAGGACAAAGATTGTGCTGGAGCAGTAAAGAAGAGGACAGTGTAAAAACTGGGCTAACCAGGTGCAATATCTGGACATAAAGGTACCCCGGAATTAAGATTCTAATAAATTTTTAAGAAAGATAGTAAAAATGGAAACCAGAGAAAGTGGTAAGGGGAGGAATTGACAGCTGAAAGTGGCTTTGAACTTTGAAAGGAGGAAACCAGAAGAAAATACCCTGTTCAAATTGGATAAATATGTGATTTTGGCACTACACAGGCATAATTAAAGCTGAACTTGAATGTGTCAAAAAAACACCAGTAACTGATATTTGGACTTATTGGATCTTAGAAATTTAAAAGCCCTAAATAGAGAAGAGAAAGTGGGAAGAAAAAGGGCAGAATTTGGATATAACAGAGAGTGCCACCTAGTGTTTAAGAAAAAAAATTGTGACTCTTTTTTTAAAAAAACACCTGGCTCTTTTAAAAGTGGAATTTGATACAAAATAAGAGAAACTTTGTTACAATAAAAATAGAAACCCTGAAAAATGGAAAGTGGAAATACAGAACATCAATATAAAAGAAAGAAGCATGAAGAAATTACTCTGGGACTGTTTGGTTATCTTGGCATAAACTTAAACTTATGGATCTTGAACTATTTGATGAATCTGGGGAAAACTTTTAGAGGAATTAATAAAAGCTGATCGTTGGAAATGTATATCAAAGATGCTGGTTGAATTAAAATATTGGACAATTGGTTTGGACTTAAAGAGTAAAGAAACTATAATAGAAGTGTTTTAAAATGGCAGATCTTTTTTGGAATTAAAAATGGAACTAAGAAACATAAAAGAAAAGCTACATGAAAGAGGTGAGTTGTGCTGTCTTGCCTTACAATCATTAGAAATGGTGATTTTGGAGTATGAAGAACAACAAGGAGTGCCAGAAGGGGAGGAGTTGATTAAAGAAGAGGCCATCTACAATGAACAATTGGAGCAACAAATATTTAAGCGAAGGGGGAAAAGAATAGGAATTAAAACTTGGAGATTTGAGGAGGCAATTAAAAAGGGGGATATTTTGAAAGCCAAACAAAGTAAAAGGAAACAGCAAAAAGGGAATTACAGAAGAAAGCTTTAAAGAGGAAGGGGGACAAAAACTGGAGTAAGAAAAGGAGGGGAAAATGAAGGAAAAAAGAAGTAATAAGAAAAAGAACCAGGAAGTAAAGCGATATGGAAATTGAACAAAAATGAAAAGAAATTGTTTATTTAAAAGACATAGAGATAATAGTTAGATAAAGATTAAGAAAGGGGATTCTTCAAAGTAATGTGGTGTATTATAAATGTATTTGAAGTAATAAATTACTTAGAAGGTAGGAAAATATAGACTTTTAAAATGAAAAGATTGGAACTGATGTTTTCATGTTATTAGAATACTTGTTCTTTGTTAAATTATACATAGTTAAATAGAATAAATGTGAAAAAGAGAAACTATGATAAGTGTACTATGTTTAATGAATTCAAGAATATAGTTGAAACAAATTATGAAGATTGTTGTAAAAAGATTAACATCAGTTTCTATGATTAATTGAATAGTTTAAATTTAATTGAAATTATTAATGATTTGATGTAAAGTGCCATGTGGAATCCAGCCTAAAATGCATATGTATTATGTAAGTTGTTAGGAAATCATTGTGATTAATTTTTAGGTGATAATTAAACAGTCAATTATTATTGGGAATTAAAGAGGAGTTAATTAAATGATGTATAAGGTAATGGGGTGGTACACTCAAATTGGTAATTGTGGGGGGAAAATTTTGAATTGTTTGAATTGGGATGGAATTTTTGAAATGATTAAATAAGAATATGCGATGAAATTGCAAACCTGACAAATAAAATTATAAAGTATAATGAATATGAAGATATGATAATTATTTAAAGTAAAAAAGAAATAGGTTAAGAAATGAATAGAAAATATATAAAATAAGTCTGAGAAAAGTACTGTGTTTCTCATAAAATAAGGCCGAGTCTTATATTTCTTTGAGCCTCAAAAAAATGGCTAGGCCATCTTTTCGGGGGTGACTTAATTCCCCCCCTTGCATCCTCATCTAGAACACCCCGCGGACAGCCTTGCCACCAGCCGCTCCTAATGGGTGATCATGGTGAAGCGCAGAGAGCTCCCTACTCCCACCAAACACCTTTGCTGCAGACCCAAGACCTTTGGCACCTGCCGCTCTTGCTTTCCCTTCTGCCCATTCTGCTGCCACGTTTGGAGCTGCCGCTTCCATGTTTGGAGTGCCGCTGCCATTTGGAGTTCTGCCACCATTTGGAGCACTGCTGTCATGTTTGGAGCTGCCACTTCCATATTTGGAGCTGCCACCGTGTTTGGAGTGGCGGCGGCTCTCCAAATGGTGGTGGTGCTCCAAACAGCGGCAGTGCTCCAAATGTGGAAGCGGCAGCTCCAAACGTGGCATCAGCTCCAAATGCGGACATGGAAACTCCAAACAGCAGCAGTGCTCCAAACAGCGGTGGGGTTCCAAACGCAGAAGCGGCAGCTCCAAATGTGGAAGTGGCAGCTCCAAACAGCAGCAGTGCTCCAAACAGCGGCAGCGCTCCAAACGTGGAAGTGGCAGCTCCAAACGCAGCGGCAGCTCCAAATGCAGAAGCGGCAGCTCCAAATGGCAGCGGTGCTCCGAATGTGGAAGTGGCAGCTAAAAACACTGCAGCAGCAGGGGCAGAAGGGAAATCAATAGCGGCGGGCGCTGAAGGTCTTGGGTCTGCCGCAAAGGTGCTTGGCAGGAGTAGGGAGCTCTCCACGCTCTGCCATGATCGCCCATTAGGAGCAGCTGGTGGCGAGGAATCGCTGCCTGCAGGGCGCTCCTAACGGCAAGTCCCCCCACCCTTCCCCCCATTTTGCATGTTTTAAAATAGGCCTAAATTTGGGGGAGGGGCTTAATTTCATTTTATGCCTAGAAATGCTGGGTCTTCCTATTGGGGGAGGTCGTATTGTTGGAGAAACATGGTATTTGAGAAAATTTATAGAAAATGTGTAATGTACCGTGTTTCTCAGAAAACATGACCCACCCCAATATAATAAGCCCAATACTAATTTTGGGGGGGTTGGCCTAATATTATCCCCACCCCAAAAATAAGCCTTGGGGTGGGCATGGCCAGCACGAGTGGTGGCGTGGGCATGGGGGGGCAGGTGTCCAGCTGCAGAGAGGGGCAAAAGTCATTCTGTGCAGAGGCATTCCAAGCCTTCAGAGTATCCCAGGATTGCAATGCTGAAGATTCGGAATGGAGCCTTCTGCGTTGCAATCATGGGATACGCTGAAGGCTTGGAGTGGAGCCATTTTTGTGAAAGGGAGAAAAATGGGGAGGGCAATTTTCCTGCCTGTTAACTATTCCTCTTAGAGCAGGACCCTGCAAGGCTTGTTGTGGCATTGCACTCATGAATGGCAGCACCTCCGTGAGTTTCATCACACAGGTGTAGCTGGCATCCTACCCTGAGCAGTTGTGCCAGTGTATCCAAACTCACAGCAGTGCTGCCGCTCGCACACACAATGGCACAGCAATCCTTGCAGGGTCCTGCTCAAAGAGGCTGCACCGACATGACGAACCTCACAGAAATGCTGCTGTTCACACACACGATGCTACAAAAAGCCTTGCAGGGTCCTGGGATATCCTGAAGGCTCAAAGTGGAGTCGTTTTTGCAAAAGGCAGGAAAATGTGGAGGGAGAAGGAGCTTGAGGAATGGATGACAGGCAGGAAAATTCCCCTCCCCATTTCCCTGCCGTTTGTGAAAAAGCCTCCATTCTGAGCCTTCAGCATATCCCATGACCCTGCAAGGGTTGTTGTAGCATTGTGCGTGCGAGCAGCAGCACAGCCATCCTTGCAGGATCCTGCTCGAAAAGGCTACACCGATGTGATGAACCTCACAGTCGCCGCTCGCACACATGCTACAAAAAGTCTTGCAGTGTCCTGAGATATGCTGAAGACTCGGAGTGGAGCCATTTTTGCAAAAAGTAGGAAAATAGGGAGTGAGAGGGAACTTGAGGAATCGATGTCAGGCAGGAACATCCCCCCCACTCCCCATTTTCCTCCCATTTGCCAAAAACCCTCCATTCCGAATGCTGTAGTTTTGGAATTGAGTTTTTTTGGCAAACAGGGAGGAAAATAGGCAGGGGGAATTTTCCTGCCTGCCATTCTTCCCTCAATCTGTGCTGAGCTTGTGGAATAGCTCCTTTTGACTCCTACAGAAGCGGCCCAGTGGCAAGACGAGGGTGCGTGTGGGGCACCCCTAATGTCCACGATAGAAGCGGCCTGGTGGCAAGGTGAAGCGAAATTAAGGCACCCTTCGAAAAGATGGCCTAGCCGGGTTTTTTGGGGGGCGGGGGAGGTCAAAAAAAAATAAGGCCCAGCCTTATTGTCTGAGAAACACAGTAATGATAGGATATGAAATCAAATGTGAAAGTTGAATATGTAACCAAGGTCATGTTTGTATGGAAATGTGAAAACCTGGAATCATGTTGTTTACTAAAAAAAGATGTTTTTGAAATGTGAAAAAATAAAAAACTTTTTACACACAAAAAAAAGAAAATAAATTGAAGGCAAACCTCACTGCCTACTAGCACTGGTGATCTTATCTTATTTGGGTAATGAAATGTCTGCAAGAAAATAACCAAGCTCAGAGAGTACTAAGAACCATTCATTTCAACCCTGAGCTACTAACATTCTTCTTTATTTTCTAGGTGGGTTTGCATAAGTTGCTGTGTTAGACTATATCTAACAGCATATTACAGGGTTTTAGCCTTCGCACGTTGTGTAAACAAGCCCATTCATGCTAAACTATAACTGACTTTACTGATTTGGGCATCCTATGTTGAATGAACAGAACAATGGTGCTTTACTGAGCCTGGTTAAAGGTGGCTATGTAGTTAACCCTCCTTAGAGCCAAAGAAAGATTACTTGGTTGATTACAATTGCCAATCTTGCAAATCTTGCTTTCTCAGGTTTATCGTCATGGTGACCGATCTCCCCTCAGCACCTACCCTACAGATCCCCACAAAGCCGCAGCTTGGCCACATGGTTTCCAGCAGCTGAGTGAGGTACGTTCAAGGGTAAATTTTAATTATTGTTATGGCAGCCTGTGCTGGCGCGCAGAAGAGGGGGCAAATGATAATCTTCGCTTGGTGCCAGCTGGGGCCTGTCCTACATACCATCTGCCTGTCCAGAGATGGTATTCAGCAGGTTCTGACCAATTCTAGAGAACCAGTAGCGGAAATTTTGAGTAGTTTGGAGAACTGGAAAATACCATCTCTGACTGGAGATTTTACAGTATCCTTCCCCTGCCATGCCCATTAAGCCACGCCCACAGAACTAGTAGTAAAAAAAATTGAATCCCACCACTGTGTCTGTCCTAGGTCCTTGACTTAATAAGTGGATAAAAATGCCAAATACAATCTAAACATTTGGCAATTTTTTGACCCACCATAATAATAATAGTAGTAATTTCCTGGAAGCAAGTTTATAAAGTATCCTGTTGCCAGCTCCTGGCTGTGCAGGAGCTAGATTAAATTTCAATGACAACTATAAATCTTATCACAATGCAGGAATGCGAAAGCTAAGGAATAACAAACAAATGCTTCAGAAGCTTAAATTTCTTGCAGACAAATCCAAGAGGCAGAGTAGAACTAGATCTTGTATCAGATCAGAGGTCAGCCAATAAATCAAGTTTGTGCATATTCAGGCTGTTATTCTGTTTATATCTTACTCTGCAGCCCAAAGCAAGCCTATTTTGGAAAGTAGTATTTTAATATTTGCTCTTTCCCTGTTCTAGGTGGGCATTTTGCAGCAGAAAGCTCTGGGGAAATTCCTCCGGGAAAGATACGCTGGATTTTTGAGTCCTTCCTACAAACCACAAGAAGTAATCTTTCTTTAATAATACATTGGTTTACATAATTCAGCTCTTTTGAATTCCTGAGGCAGCAAACAAATTGAATGCAACTATAAACATTGGAAGGCAAATAATAATTAAAAATAAACAGCAGCAACCAATGAATCCAACCACAATCTTGCTCAGACTTTTTAGTTTGTGGATGGGTATCTTTGGTTAGATCTGTGAAAACCAAAACATCTTAATCCAAGACCAATATTTCATGAAAAGTCATTTTACTATTTTTAAGTGAGGAAACCTCCCAAATGTTTCTCCCTTACTCCATCAAGTTGCCACAGAATGTCAAAATATGGTATTTACAGAAAATTAAATATGTAGATTTAGGTCAAATTAAGGGAAAGGAATAAGCAGTATGTGGGTGAATACATACATATAGGTTGAAAGGGATTGCATAACTCTGCTTTTCAAATAAAACCTAAATACTGTAGCCAGCACTGTGTCTTTCCCTCCTTAGTTACATTTATCAGTGCAGAATGAAAATTGGCTTATTAATAATTCTTAGCTTGTATACAGAAATGCTGTACAATTAAGTAAAGGGAGTTTTAAATGCATGCAACTTACACATAGCGTAGGATATAGGTAGTCCTTCATTTACGACTGTAATTTGAGTGTGGCAATTATGGTAATAAATCATGGCAGTTGTAAAGCAGTCATCACACATCCAAGCCAATTTTATGACCTTTTTTTTGCAGTAGTTGTTAAGTGAAATGGCAGGCATTAAGTGAATGTAGTAGTTGTTAAGTGAACACTATGGGTTTTTTTTTTCTGGAAATCAGAAGTAAACGCTGATTTCTAGCAAAAACATTGTTAATCAGTCACATGAGCACAGGACATTGCAAATTGGTGTAAATGCCGGCTGGTTGCCAAGCACCCATATGCAGTCATGTGACTATGGATAGGGTAGGACTGTCCATCAGTACTTTGGAACAGGGTTGTAAATAGATTTTGGTGGGTCTGTTATAACTTTGAACAGTTTCTTAGTGACCTATGATAAGTCAAGGACTGCCTTTAGTGGTTAAGGAGTAGACTAACATGGGGAAGACTCAGTTTGTAGTCCACCTCCATTCAGACATAGAAGATTTGGGGCTAGGCCCACTCAGTCAGCACAACCATCTTCACAGGATTATTGAAGGAAAAAATACGAGGGAGCAATAGCGATGTACGCTGCCTTGAGCTTCTGTACCGAAGAATTGAACTAATAACAAATGTGAATACTGCTAATATCCTACAGTGGCTGCCATTATAATAAACCATGTGTGGTTTTGCCACACATACCCGTAATATTGATATCTTCAATTAAGGCATAAATACAGGTAGTCCTTGATATACAACCATTCATTTAACAACCATTCAAAGTTACGAGGGGGCTGGAAAATGGATTGTGACCAATTCTAACACTTAGAACTGTCACTGTGTCCATGTGGTTACATGATCAAAATTTGGGTGCTTCTCAACCAGCATATATTCATGACAATTGTGGCATCCTGGGGTTGTGCATTCATCATTGTGATCTTCCCAGGGGGCTTCCAGCAACATCAATGGGGAAAGCCAGATTCGCATGATTTACTTAACAACCACAGCAAAAAAGCTCGTTAAAATCTGCCACAACTCACTTAATAACTTCATAACTTAGCAACAAAATTTTCAGTCCCAATTGTGGTTATAAATTGAAGACAAGCTTGGTCCCACCATTCTCCCTAGCTCTGTAGAGGAAGAAATTATGTTCCCCAAGAAACGTTACACTAACATGTAGAATGTCAATGTTTTAATCACCTTGTTGCCAATATAGGTAACTCACTGCATGGCTATCTACTGTTTCAGATCTATGTCCGCAGCACTGATTATGACCGCACCATTATGAGTGCCCAAGCCAACCTGATGGGACTCTATCCAAATTCACATCCAGAAATTCCTTGGAAACCTGTTCCCATCCACACCGTGCCTGCTAAGTATGACAAAGTAAGGGAACACAACCCGTATGTGGTCCATTAAATGTTTTTCCTCCCTGTTTTTATGGCTGCTCTTGATAAAAAGGGGCAAACTCACTTAACAAATGTCTCACTTAACAACAGAATTTTGGGGTTCGATTATGGTCATAAGTTGAGGATTACATATATGATTTCTGACCTGATTTCTTTAACAGTGAAGTACAGCCCAATAATTTCACCCTGGGACAAATTATCTAATTCTCTATATTCCCTACTTCTGTTCCCAGCTTTTAAAACCACCAACCAGAACCTGTCAACGATATCAACAATTGATGGAAGAGACTATTAATTTGCCAAGCTATCAAGCTAAATTGACAGAATGGAAGGTATGGTGGAATAGGGCTAAGAAAAGGAGAATAATTTAAAGCCAATTCTAGAAGAACAAGTTCTTAAATACTGATTAGAATGCTTTTCTTTCACCTTTTATCTGGATAGTTCCATAGTGGCCTGCAAAAATAAGAACAAATAAAAACCCAAAGCATTTGTAATAACAAAACAAATGCAAAACATTAGCAGCAGCCAAAATATAAAACTATAGCAATATAGTGAAATTTCACTTTACGGACTCCTGTATAGTAGACCAAAGGATATCCTGAAATAACAGACAAGTCAGGGACATCTGAAAGACTGCCAGACAAGACAGTTAAATATAAATGTACATTAATTATATGTCATTTGCAATTATTTGAGTCATTTGACCTTGAATGACAAAATTTTTATCATTCATCAATTTTGAAACATTTTACATCACCCTATCACAACATTTTTGTACTGATGTCATTTCCATTAATTTTAACACCTATTCATTCAAATGGAGTTAGTTATTTGTAAATGAGTCTCTGGGTACCTGACAACAAAAGAAGCATGAAATAGATATAATAAAAATCTAGGAAGAGCAACATCATAAAAGCACACATTGCATCATTTGCATAGTGATGTTATAATACAAGCTGATATAGTGTGCTAATTAACAAGAATTGAGGAATTAAAAATACATTTCCATATTATATTTCATTACATTTAGATCTTACTTTATTTGAAATAGTTACCAGTGTCATCCTAGACAGAACCATTTAAAAGAAAACACCCTCTTTTTATCAGGATCTATTAAATGACAAGAGGGTTTGTGATTGATTTGCAAGGGAAGAGTTTTAGTTTGACAATAAAGGGAGACAATCTAATGTTAAGCTTTCTAAAGTTTCTTTTGAGCCATCATTGCCTCAGAAATAATCAGTACTACTTTATACATGACTTATCACAGATGGATACAGGACAGGTCTTGAGTAGGATTACTTCTGTGCAGAGAGAAATGGCTCGATATAAAGATTTCTTGTTGAAAAAACATTTTCAGATTTCAAGTGCTTTATAGCACAACTGTAATATCCCAAATAAGGATAACAGCAAATGCTTTGATTAGGCTGTATGAAAATCTACAAAACCCCAAGTGAATGAATGCTAAGATCCAGTTATGATTTAGTGGTGTCTGAAATTAACCTCTGTTACTGTTACAGTGAGAAGAATTACTGCCAGGCAGATCTAAGTTTGGGAAAACAACAATAACTCTCTCTTAAATTACTTGGACCTAAATAGTTCATGTCTGTTTAGTTTCATCCTGAAGATCTGCAATGAATGAAAGTAAAACTGCAGGGTTAGTTGAGATGGAAATAACTAAGCACAATGAACCTTGAGTATTTTAATTATTTCTGTTTTCCTCTCTTGCAGGGCTTTATGGAAAAGATGGCTAATTATACAGGGCTTAAATCTGAACAGCTCACCTTGAGAGGCCTCTGGAAAGTGCATGACACACTCTTCTGCCAGGTAAGTTACTGCATTACAGATAGTCCTCAACTTATAATCATTTGTTTAGTGACCAGACGTACAATAGCACTGAAAAAAATGACAACTGTTGCTTACACTTACACCATTGTAACATCCCCACGGTCACATGATCAAAATTTGGACACTTGTCAATCGACATACACTTACAAAGTTTGCAATGCTCAGTCTAGGGTCATGTGATCACCATTTGCAACCTTCCCCAAAGGCTTATGATGAGGCAACCAGATTTGCTTAACAGCCGTGTAATTCACTCAACAACTGCAGTGATTCACTTAACAAAATGGCAAAAAAAGGTTCTAAAATTGAGTGCAACTCACTGAACCCTTAGAACAGGGTTCTTCCAAATTTGGCAACTTTAAGACTTATGGGCTTCAACTCCCAGGATTCCTCAGCCAGCATAGCTGAGTATTTTACATAGCATGGCTAGCTGAGGAATTCGGGAAGTTGAAGTCCACAAATCTTAAACTTGCCATGTTTGGAGGCCTCTGTCTTAAAAATTTTGGTCCCAATTAAAAATGTTGGTCCCAATTATGATCATAAATTGAGAATTACCTGTACATTATATCAAGATCACCCATTTCATTAGAAAACTCTTTGATTTTTTTGTTTTTAATTTTCCACACAGAAAACCCATAACATGTCTTTGCCTAGCTGGGCTACAGCACAGGTTCTGGCAACTCTCTCAGAGATAGAAATGTTTAATATTGAAGCGCATGTGGGGATGCATGCTGCCCAGGAAAAGGCTCGATTCATCGGAGGTACAATTAAATTTGAATTATTTTCTCTGTTTGGAATCAAGACCTAGAAGTAAATGTCTCAAAGGTGCTTTTATTCTTCGAATGGCAACTGGACTGGGTTTTTTTTCTTGAGGAAGAAGAAGAAAACCTTTTGCTTCTCATCGAAGAAGCTTCATCAGTTCTGATGGCAGGGAGATGAAAGGACTGATGAAGCTTCTTGGATAAGAAGCAAAACGTTTTCTTCTTCCTCCTCAAGGGAAAAAAAATCCAGTTGCCTTTTGAAGAAGAAAAAGCACCTCTGAGATGAATATGACCTGGATGACTGAGAATCTCCACAGATATTTACAGGTAGTCCTCGACTTACAATGGTTCATTTAGTGACCGTTCAAAGTTACATCACTTGAAAAGTGACCTGACCATTTTTTACATTTACAACTGTTGCAGAATCCTCATGATCAGGTGATCAAAATTTGGATGCTTGGCAACAGACTCATATTTATGATGGTTGCAGTGTCCTGGCATCATGTGATCATCCTCTGCGATCTTCTGACAAGCAAAGTCAATGAGTTAACCAGACTCACTTAACAACCGAGTTACTAACTTAATAGTTGCAATTATTCACTTAATAACTGTGGCAAGAAAGGTTGTAAAATGGGGCAAAACTAATTTAACAAATGTCTCACTTAGCAACATAAATTTTGGGCTCATTGAAGACTACCTGTACGGTAAATTCTGCAATAGTAAGTTAAAAAGTAAACACAGGACAGTTTGAAGAAAAATGATTGAAAGTACGAAGTATATACCAGCTTAGAAATCTGTCTTTTCTCTTTTCTTTTTTCTTCTTTTTTCTTTCTTTCTTTCTTTCTTTTCTTTCTTTTTCTTTCTTTTTCTCTTTCTTTCTTTCCTTTTAAATTTCTATACCACCCTACAAACTGATTCTTTGGCAAGTAAATTTAGCACATTTCCCCATTAGGAATCTGTACAATGATGCCAGCATTATCGTACCAAATAAGAACAGGTTTTCTATCTACAGTGATGGCTGAATGATGCCATAGTGATGCCATTATTCACTAGCAGGGAATAACGTAATGTAATGTTCCTTCACCCCTCAATCTCATTGGAAATTCTGCATTTCAGGGACCAGCAAACTAGCCTTCAAATATCAAGCTAGCTTTTTAGTGCCACCATGTGGCAGGAATTGCTGTTTAACATGCCAAAAACAGAGCCAGGGCCGGAGGGAGATCAGGACACTTCAACTTCCTTTCTAAGCTTTAGTATATTTTCTGATACAACACTGTGCAGATCCTCTCTTCTTGGTATTTTTCAGTCTTCTGCTTTTCTCAATGTCAGATATATTTCAGTAGATTATCTATCAGCATATTTTCCTCTCTGCAGGGTTGCTGCTGGGTGCTATTTTGAGCAACTTTTCCAAAATGGTGTGCCAGGATCTGCCTCTTAAGATGATAATGTATTCTGCTGTAAGTTCTCCCATTCCTTATAATTGCAAGGATGCACTTTGGAAAATGGGATAATCCAGAAAGTTTAGAGCAATCTTCTCCTCCCTGCAGTTATCATTATCTGCAGCACAGAATTTGTTTTGGACACAATTTGAACATTTTTCTATAATCTTGAGAATTCTTGCTGCTGCCTTGTAGGGCTGCCATTACGGCAAAATTTCTGGGCTTACCAGAAAAAAATTGAACCCTGCCTCCCTTCCTCCTGCCCGCCCCAGCTGAGTGAACATTTCAAAATAAGTGAATGAATTCAAACAAGAATGGCTCAAATCCAGTCATGCTTCCTGGTATCAGTGATTGAATATTTACCCATTTCTTGATTTATTTCAAATGTATATGGCTACCCAACGTCCCCATGGTGATTTTGGGTGGATAACATAAACAAGCAAAAAAGCTATAATTGACAATGAGACAAACAAGAAGTGTTTTTTGTTTAACTTTCTCTGGACTTAAATATTTTTCTTCACTTTAAAAAACTTTCCTTCCATTGGGCTCTGGCACTCTTGCTATAAAATCTTCCTCTGACGGTATAGAGAGTACAATATGCCAAGTTTTATTCAATAATAAAGATAAGGATAGGAAGGCAAAAATGGACATGAGAAATGTGGGGAAAAGGAATATTCTGGTCTATTCTAATATGTAAATGGCATAGTAATTATTTCTGCTTGCTTTCTTTAGCATGACAGCACCTTGATTGCTCTGCAGGCAGCCCTCGGGGTTTACAACGGCCACCTACCACCCTATGCAGCTTGTCATGGATTTGAATTCTACCAAGAAAGCAATAAGTAAGTTTAACAAAAGAAGGATGGGTGGGTCCCCTTTTTGCAAGTGCCAAAATGCAGACATGGCTCATTGCTCTCCACCACATTCAAGACAATTCTTGGGATCCTGTTAGAAGCTTAAAAGGCTTGTGAATATTGAACCATAGGATCTAAGATTGGGTAGATCAGCTGGTGTTAATTTGACAAACCAGAAGCATCTTCAGCTTGCAGATGTCCAGAGAGGATATTTAAAGGAGCTTAACTGGACAGTAACCTACATGCAAAAGATTATTTGACTTTTGCCTTCCCGTAATTATTATGTAGTTCACTGAAGTGTTAAAATGGAAATTTTTGCATGCCCTGAACTCGAGAAGGTACTAGATTCTAGACAAAGCTCATTTCCATTTTGTCATTTCATTTTGCTCTTCCATTCTCACAATATCTCTTCCGAGCCAGACTTTGTATCACTTTCAAAACCATTCCCTTGCAGCAGAGCTGGCTGCCTTCAAACAATCTGTCAGCAACTTTAGTTGCTGACGCATTAGTCAGACTGTAGCATCACAATGGAGAGAGGCTCAGGTGCCAGAACCTGAACATCTTCAAGGATTGTGCAAGGAGAAAAAGCAGCAGCAAATAAATATATCTTTTGTCAAGTCTGTAAGGTTCAGGTTCCGGAATGGTGTTAAAACATTTAAATTTTCATATTTCAGCTCTTTCAGCGTTGCTATGTTCTACCGCAACAGGAGTGACCAGAGGCCCCATATTCTACCTCTGCCTGGCTGCCCCATGCCTTGTCCATTGCCACTGTTCATTCATCTCACCCGTACAGCTATCCCAAAGGACTGGGATGCAGAATGCCAAAACCCTCAGAGCGGTCCAGGTAATGAAATCACCTTCCCCCTCCTCTCTAGCACAGAGCTAGTTAATGGAAACTTTTATGCCTGATCCAATATTCTATTTGCAGGGCATGCAGTGATAGCCCTGGCTGCAGCAGTAGGTGTACTGAGCGTGGCACTGCTTGGCATGGGTGTCTTGTATTGGAGGAGGTGATAATGAAGACAAGCTGAATGGCAACCATCCAACCTCCACGGAACAAGAAGCAAACTGCCTTGATAGATAGATAGATAGATAGATAGATAGATAGATAGATAGATAGATAGATAGATAGATAGATAGACGGACAGATAGATAGATAGATATAGACAGATAGATATCGATATATATATATATCGATATATATATGTATAAATAAAAATGCGGTGCAATGCAGCCATCTCGGACCTCTCTCCCACCTTACTCAGCTCGCATTCTAATTGGGAGAATGTGACCAAAGGGGGGAGCTGACAGACTTTGTGCCAGGCAGTTCCTAACTAACAACTACTTGGAGGTCAATGCCAGCAGGAAATTCAGCACAGGGAAAGGAAAAGGATCGCAAAGCACTTATTTGAAATGCCATTGTTATATCTATGGCACAACCGCCTAAAGTTTAGCTCTCAAGTACATGCCCTGCACTCAAAACTCCTAGATGTTTCCCCCTTTTAGTGAGTTTTGGGTGTCCAACCCAATTAAGATTTGAATACTTTGCATGCTTGACAAACAGTCCCCACTCATTTCTTCCAGTCTTCCCTAATATTCAATGAGCTCTGCACTAAACAGAGGGACAACCTCATTATGGAATTCCTGTTCCCACTAAAGGCTACACTTAGTAGTTGGGGTGTCCTTGGCCAAAAGACCCTGCAAAGACCCTGCGTTTTCATGCCTTTAGTAGTTTCTCACCACCCAGTAGGTAAATTGGGATTTTTGACTTTACGCTACATACTATAGTAGAAGGGGAACTTTTATTCAGTAGTTTTGGGGTTAAAACTGCCCTATTTCCAGTACTGACTGGGTTACCAGGTTCATAGAACATACCGTATGGGACACGGATTGTCACGCTATTGTGTAAAATCCAGTTAAGTGCTGCACTACACCCAATGCTGCAAGGTAAGCCAAGTTCACCCATCTACTAGAGGAGTCATATATAGTTTCCTATCAATAAAGGAGGCATCCTAGGGGAGGAAATCCTCAAACCCATTTCAAAGATCACATTCTTGGAGTCTACTTAACAAAAGGCAAGTTTAGAAAGCAAAGGGCAACAGAGAAGTTCAATGGTAGGGTTACCCACTGTCATATTGATATAGTACAGCTACTTTGACATCACTGTAAATGCTACTTTCCCATTACAGGGGCACATCATTGTGGATACTTCATTCATACATTTGGTCTTGCCAGTAGGAATAACCAACCCTACCAACCCCTTTTGTGTAATATCAATAGGATTTGCAGACAAATGGGAAAAAAAATAAATGTACTTTAGTATTTCATTTGTGACTAATACTTGTAGGTGCCATGAACTCCTAGATGGCTAGATTGTCTTGCCCGGGATCTCTCAAGGGGACACAAATGCATGAATACAGGGTTGCAGACACCCAGTTGTATGGAAAGGCAGTGTCCTTGAAAAGAACACTGCTTGGAGATTTTCTGACTGGGATGCTATAATACATTTAGTGAGCCAAGATCACCTTCCAAAAGTGCAACTGCTACATTTTGCTGCAAGTCAGATTCCCCACTCTGCAGAGTAATTTTTGCTGTTCCTTTCCCAGCTACCGAACTTGGCCGCTTAGATTGCTTGACCCAGATCTAAGTAGCATCTATAGCAAGAGGTTCACATCCCACTGCATCATATGGTATTTTAAGTAAGCCGCACAGCTCTTCAAAGGCTTCCCTTTTCCTGCTACTAAGAGCAGGGGTAGGACTCAGAAAAGAACACTTGAAGAGAGGGCTTAAAAAACAACCCCTTTTAAGAAGGCACGCTTTGCAGCAGCATTATCAGTTAAGAGTTTACTCAAACGGGTGTGCATATAATGCTGCTGCTGCTGCAGTCCAAAGTAATCACAAGCATTTTGCAAGAGTTAAGCAGTATTATCCGTTGCAGCTTCAACAGACACAGCAAAGTTATTCATCCATCAATGAAGTGTTTATTGAGTAAGAAAGTAAACCCGCTAGGATCTGATAAGTAAGCCTCTCACTTCTTTCTGCATGAAAAACAGAATAAGGGGTGTAATGGATAAACAACGGCAAATCCCTCCCATCCCAAACAATGGATCCAGGAAAATTTCCGAGTTATATTTCTTCTTGGGGAAGAAGGTCCTCCACGTAGACTTCTTCGACGCTCCCGCCAATTTGGTTCAGTCTGAATGAAACAAGTAAAACAAAATACATTAGCACTGCAGCACCTAAATTTGGACAGTCATCCCCAATCAAGTATCCCGAGATTAGTTGTGCTTCAATTCCCATACATTTTGATAGGCATCAAACGGATAGACCAGTGAAAATTACTAATCATCTGCACAGTACATAATTACTTACCAACAGCCTCTTAAGGGTCCTAGTAGGCTACATTCGTACATTCCAGAAGAGCCTGGCTCACATTACACCTACCAGCAACTGTGTAACATTTCACTTTTACCTATGAAAAATAAAGATATCCAAATTAGAAATCTACTGGGGCCTTCTCTGGAGTGGCTCCCTCTCTGTGGAACATCATCCCTTCAGAGATAAGATTGGCCCCCACTTTGGCACTCTTTCCCAAGGTTCTGCCAATGAGATTGGGGACCTGAGTGACATAGAACTCATCAAGTGGCTGGTCTAAATGTGGTCACTGGGGGTGGAGTGGGCATTGTTTTTTGTACTGGGGATTTATCCTTGTAAACTTCCCCCAGAGCGGGGTGGCTGTATAAAGCTTCTTAATAAAATCTTTAAAATGTGCTTTGCTTAAATTCCATTTTCAAAAATACCATGCTCCTAGTGTAGTAGAAGCAGTTTTAAAGCAACAATTCAATGTTGTGCTTCATTTCCATTTCCATGTCTTCCAAGAGTAATTGACATTGTTTTGTCCATTAAACAAAATCAATGGCTAAAATATTCAGCACCTAAAGCTTTCCAGAAGTGATTACAGGTAGTCCTCGATTTACGTTCACAGCAGAGCAAAAACTCCATTGCTAAGCAAGACAATTGTTAAGTGAGTCTTGCCTTCTTGCCAGTTAAGTGAATCACTGCAGTTGTTAAGTCAGTCACACAGCTGTCAAGTCAACCCAGCTCCCTCATTTTGCTTGTCAGAAGGACTCAAAAGGTGATCGCATGATCCCAGGCACTGCAACCGTCAGGGATGCTGCAAGAGTAGTATGAAAAATGGTCGTAAGTCACTTTTTCCAGTGCCATTGTAACACTGAACAGTCACTAAATGAAAGGTTGTAAACGTTGAGGGCTACCTGTATAAAAGCATCCTCATCTATGGTGAGGGAAAAGAGGCAGAAGAAAGAAAACAGGGCATGGGGGGAAAAATATCAGAAGATGGCTCTAACATGAAGCCCTTCCCTTCTGCATTATAATATTATATCCTCACCTTCCACTATGAGATCCTCAGTCTCTCAAGGCAGAAGACATTTGGAGAAGGCATAATAGGAAAAGAAGGCCAGTCTATTCCAGGAGGCAAAGTGTAGATCACCTTCTTTCTCTGCTCTGTCAATTCTTCTCTTTGTAAGGTTCTGGTGGAGGTTAAATCCGGTTTATATCTTATTCCAAGCCAGGAGAAGAACTCAGGCAGAGAATTAAGTCTGAGGCAGGCTGCATTTTGGAAAGAAAGTCTGTTTATTTGGTGTCTAGAAACTACGACAAAGCAGACATTTAAAATGAAGCATACCTTAGGAAAAAAAAATTAAATGAATTATTTACTGGTCAAGTGTGATTAGACACACAAGGAATGTATTGGTGAATATGCTTAATGTACATAAAAAGACATTGTTTCTGGAGGTGGCTGGACCACACACATTGGCACATCAGTAAGGTTTATATACAAATTTTTAGCCTTTGGTGTGAGTGAAATGCTTTTATGACTATGAGGAAGCAGGAAGCTTTTATGGTTAGAGGAAATATTCTGTTATCTTCCTTATTAGTAAAGATCTTCCTGGTTAAGCAGAAGTGTAAGAACATGGGCATAAGTATTAAAACGGCTATGCCTTAAATGTTGATTCCAGGGTTGCCTGTCAGCATTTTATTTTCTTTTAAGGAAACATTGTGTTTTATTAGTAGGGATGGGTTTGACTTCAGATCAGAAAGCTGTTTTAAAAAAAAGGGGGGGGGGGATCAAAGGCTTTTAAACTTTCATCAGTTCTTTTTGTGCAACAACAGCATAACACAAACACAAGTCTTGCTGGTCCTACCTTCAACCATTCCATATGTAGAATAGCCTCACGTCTTCCATTTGCAAAAACATCTATCTGGATCTGCATGTGGTTTGCTAGTAACTTCCAGTTTCCAGGATCTGGTATAATCACATCTACAAAATCTAGACATATGTTTGGGTGGGATAAATAGGTCACTTTCACAAAGTTATATTAAGGTGAAACAAAAAATGAAAACAAACTCCCTTCTAACTTGCTGGCCTCATTGCACTTACCACTCAAGATTTTTATTTGTATCCCATTTTTTATTTTACAAATAACCCAACAAAAGCAATATTCCAATTTTCCACACAACCTCTTGCAGTGGGGTTAGACTAAGAGTGACTGGCGCAAATTCACCCAGCTGGCTTTCATGGCTAAGACTTGAACTCAGTCTCCTGCTTTCTGGTGCCTTAACACCTAGACCAAGCTGGCTTTCATGGATACCCACAATTAAATTATTTGGGGGACAAGGCAGCATTTTTTTCCTGTGTTGCTTGGCCTTTTTAATGATACCTAGAAGGTCTATTCATTAAATGGGTATGTATGCTTGTTTTTTGTGTGCAATTAGAGCAGTGTTTCTCAAACTTGGTAACTTTCAAGGTGTGCAAATCTCAACTCTAGAATTTCTCAGCCAGTCATGACAAAGTAGGAGAAACTATTCTTTAATTAGCTTAGCTGTTGTAATATACAAGTAGCCCTCAACTTATGACCCAAATTGAGCCCAACATTTCAGTTGTTCAGTGAAACATTTAAGTGACTTTTACCTCATTTTACCATTGCAGTTAGGTTTAGTATCACAGTTAAACGAATTTGGATTCCCCATTGACTTTGCTTGTCAGAAAGTTGCAAGAGAGGATCATATGACCATGGGAACATTGCCACATTCATAAATGAGAGCCAGTTGCCACATGTCTGAATTCTGATCATGGGAATGCTGGAACTGTCGTAAGCATGAAAAACACTCACAAGTCACTTTTTCAGTGCTGTTTTAACTTTGAACAGTCACCAAACTAAAATTGTTAAGTCGAGGACTACCTGTACCAGTGTTTGCCTAACATGGCAGTCATCACTAGCAATCAAACATTCCCAAGAGCTTCTTCCTGAACCATAAATTTTAACAGGCAGGCCAGGATTCTGTTCCTCAGTCCCCCAAGATGTCAAAGGCAAGGGGGGGCACTTTTATCATCATAGTTGTCTGTGCCCAGTGCTAACATCATTGGAAGAATCCTGTTGCCATGTTTTTCACATCTATATATAGTAATACTTCTACCCCACCTACCAAAGGAAAAGAAAAAGATGCTTAATTCAATTAATTCAAAGGTGCAAGTGCAGATGAGGCAAAACCTGGCTCAAAACAGTTAACTGTGAAAGGAACCTTGGAGTCTGAATGGATGATCACTTAAACTTAAGCCAGACGTCTACATCAGCAGCCAAAAAGGCTAATATAATCCCTTGTTTGTATAAGCAGAGGCACTGAATCAAAAATCACATTAAGTATTAAGCACCGCTTTATATAAAGTATAGGTAAGACTACAACTGGAATATGGCATTTAGTTTAAAATGTTGACTTTGGAAAATCGCAAAGAGCAGCTAAGATGATTAAAGGCCTAGAGACTAAAACAAATGAATAAAAGTTGGAGGGTTTGACTCGTCTAGAGAAAAGGATTAAGGGGGACATGATAGCAGCATTCCAGTATTTGAGAGGCTGCCATAAAGAGGAGGGGGGGTCAACCTATTTCCCAGAGCACCAGAGGCAGGACAAGAAGCCATGGATGGAAACTAATCAAGGAGAGAAGAAATCTGGAACTAAGGAGAAACTTTCTAACAGTGAGAACAAGTAACCATTTGCTTCCAGAAGTTGTAGGTGCTTCATCACTGGAGGTTTTTTAAGAAGGGACTGTGGGCAGTCAGTTGTCTCAATTGGTATATACATATACATTGACTTCTGCTTGAGCAGGGCGTTGGGCTAGAAGACCTCTCCAAGATCCCTTCCAGCTCTATTCTGATTGATTGAATTCCCATTCCATAGATCCTTCAAGGCCTTTTTCTATAAGGGACATATCTTCCCGCCCATATCTTAGTCCTATTTCTTATTCCAATCCTCCTTTGCTTAGGAGTCCATTTGTCCCCTCCCCGACTTTTTAAAACAATCAAAAAGTCCGGCTTTTGCCTTCTCCTTGTTAAAAAAAAATCATTGCTTAAAAGTATCACAGCAGCAAAAAAATAATAATGATCCAAATAATTCTTAAACACGCCCCCAATCACCCGCCACCACCCGCCATTCCTGCCGCAAGCACCCACCTGCAGCTGGCCGCCATTTGAAACAGAAGGGAACGCCGGCGCACGTGGCCTTTTTATCCTTTTAGCCCCGCCTCGCTTTTTCGAAGAACCTCATTCTCGCAAGACCACAATTTTACGCATGCGCTACCAATAAATGCGCGTGCGGAGGTAAAGTCTCCGCCCTTCAGCCTGTCTAGATGTGCGCGTGCGCGAAAGGAGGTAAAGAAAAAGCAAGTTGAAACTTTTATTAAGTAATAATAATAAAGTTCATAATAAAGGCAAAGAGGAAATGGGATGTGAGCTCGCTTGTGTTTTGTTGAGTTTCTTTGGCATCCGTTTGCCTCTTTGTCAGGGCAAGGCTTAATTGATAAAGCCTAGGTTAGTTGATAGTCGTCTTGCACAGCGTGTCTCAACTTTTAAGATGTGTGGACTTCAACTCCCATATTTCCCTTGTCGGTCATGCTGACTTGGGTCCACACATTTTTAAATTGCCACGGTTGATTCAAAACTGCTTTTGGCGATGTAAACTGGAAAAGTGCATGAGCAAAAGAGAAAATTGTAACCAAATAAGCAGCAACCTTTAGAAATTTTAAGTTAAAAACATACTTCTGATTGCTTTCTTCTAAAAACAAAAGGGAAAATGTAGTTCTGTTGGAATGGACTATATCCTCTAAGGTCTAATGTTGGTTTTATGACTGTGATTATGTGTGTTTATTGGGATTTAGGTTTAATGATTTGATGGCATCTTTCCATTTATTAACCCCTGTCCTCTTTTCCAGGGTGTAGGATGAAACTGGGGACAAATTATTGGCTTGCAATGCAAATTTTAAGGCTACTTGCCTACATTGTTTTAAATATGAATTCTTCAGATTTGTGGAGGAAATGCATATTACAACTAAGATTTAAGAGAGCCATTTTTTTGTGTAGTGCAGAGGTCTCCAAACTTGGCAACTTGTGGACTTCAACTCTCGGAATTCTCTAGCCAGCACAGCACAAGCCAGCATAGCCCACAAGCATAGCTGGCTGGAGAATTTTGGGATTTGAAGTCCACAAGTCTTAAAGTTGCCAAGTTTGGGGAACGTCTGGTGTCATGGTTAGAAAATAGTTCTAATCCTGTCATAGGCACAAAAGCCAAGTGAATGATTGGGTCAGTATCTCTCTCAGCCCTAGGGCAAAAGCAATGCAAACCACTTCTGAAAATGGGATCACCAAAAAATAATGAGTCACTGGAATCAAAACTGACTTGAAGATTCACACAGAAAATATTATTCTTAGAGGAACCTTTAACTACCGCTTTCCAGAAAGCACCAAGAATACTTTGTTTCCCAGGTGAATATGATTAGCCACAGAGGTAAAATGTTATAATTAAATTATAATTAAATTGTCTTTCCTTGCAATCATTTTATTGTTAATAAAATGCTTCATTCTATCAGAGAGAAAGATAAAGTATTAGTTGTAATGTCTATAATACTAATTTACAGTTAGCATTAAAAAGGTTATGTTCCATAAATCACTCACATATTTGGAAACAAAACTAATTTAGTTTTTTTTTAAAAAAACAAATTTTATTAATTTTCAAAGACAATATACAAACAAACAAAACATAGAACATAAAAACATAAAACATCTTTTCTGAAAGCTGCTTGATCCCGGGTTACATCTCTTTGTACAAATTCAAATTCATATTCATTTTATATACCATTCCATATCTTATTACCATTTTCCATTTTCTATATAGCTTCTCACCTCTTTTAACTTTCTTAGTTTTATTTTATTTGTCTCATCTCAGTTCAGATCATAATACTTATTATTCTTTGTCTGTTCTGTTTCCAGCTATCTATTTCTCTTTTCTCTTTAGATAACTCCTGTACACTGATTGGAGTGTGACACCTTTTTCCCCTAAATTTATAATACTTAATATAATACATAACTTCCATTGGGAATTCTGTTTAGTACATTCTAAAATTACACATTATATTTTATAAAAAGAAAAAAATTATAAGTATATAATTAAAAAGAGTGCCAAGAGAGTCTTTCCCTTCTTGTTGTTCTTCTTTATATTTTTGGTATTGAATGTTCAATTCATCCACAAGTGATGCCATTGTAGAAAGAAAGGGTTTTTCCAAAACAACCACCCAAGTGTTTTTAATCAAAAATAATTCTCAAAAGTCCCAAAGTCACCAAACAATCCAAATAGGCTGTTTCTTTTAACACTTTCTTCTTCCTTCACTTTCTCTTTCTGGGGTTACTGTTTAGTTACAAAGTTCCAGTTAAAATGTATCTTTTAGAAATCTTGTTAATATTTAATAATTCTTTAAGATTCTAGGCAGTCTCCTCCTTACTTCCAAATCCTACTCCAATTCTTTTCCTCTCCCTTCCCACTTACAGCAAAAAAGATTTTTTTAAATATTCAGAAATCCTTATCCCTTTAGCATTCGATTACCTCCTTAGTGCCAATGCAGGTTTTTCCAATTTCTCTTGCTTTTCTATTCGCTGTCACGTTAGGAAGGAGAGTGAAAAAAAAGTGGTTTTTTTCCCTTTTAACTTCCATTCGCCGCTTGTAAATCTTTGGAAACAATGTATCTTTCACAGATTTTTAAATTTCAGGGTACTTTCGCTGTTACTTTGTCCCGGTCAGCAAAAAGACTTTCACTTCTTGTTGACTCCTCCTGCACTTTCTTTTTCTGGCTGAGCGCTTCTATGTGGCGGCCATTTCTGACCGCCGCTCAGCTGCCTTCGGAAAAGGGGGTTTAGCTGGTTAGAGAAGAGAGGTGCGATATCTCTCGACCCTGCCAGATCCCCCCTGTCTTCGCCACCTTCTACGGAGGTGGCTAACCCTGAAGCCGGGTGGCTCAGGGCACTCCGGCAGCAAGCGCAGGCAGAAACAGCGCACAGTCGCGGATTCCTGCCTGCCCCAGAGCACTGCAGACCGGAAATCCCACCTAAAATAAAATAATTTTTTAAAAAAAACTAATTTAGGGAAACCTAAATCTTTGGCTCTCTTGGGATGAATAATCTTTTGTGATAGAAAACAGAAAAAAATATAGACAAAATGAGATGTATTAACATGCTCAAATAGCTGGCAAAATCACTAGGGCTACAAAATGTCAATATGAATTAATCAGATGCTAACTATACAGTTTTAAGCAATAGAAAACTCTACAACAGAATTGTTGTAAGTCAAAATCCTGAGGGATGTTTTCAGACAAAGTCAAAATAAGTGACATTAAGCACTGCAGTAGGAATTATTGGCGTTCAGTGGTGCTGATTGAATGTTATTTTAAAGCCAGAAAAAATTTATATTTGGCCAACAGCTCCTTGAAAGTGACTTGCATCTGGAACTTCAGCCACAGTACTTGGTACAAAAGCAATACACAATTAACGAAAGCTAGTGAGATAAAAATTACCCTTGCATCTGGGGAGAAAAACCAAGATCTACAGCAGGGGTCTTCAAATTTGACAGCTTTAAGACTTGTGGATTTTAACTCCCAGAATTCCTCCTCCAGTCATGTTAGCTCAGGAATTCTGGGAGTTGAATTCCACAAGTCTTAAACTTGCCAAGTTTGAAGACCCTTGATCTACAACTTTGTAGATCTTATTAGATCTACAAAGATATAGAATGTCTTGCAATATGAGAATTATATATGTAGTCCAACTTATGACCAGTTGCTTAGTGCCCATTAGTGCTAAAGATATTTACAACCAGGTTTTAAAAATTATAAAGGCTACACCACCACCTCCTGTGGTCATGTGACTTCATTTTGGGTGCTAGGTAACCATCCCACATTTATGGACATTTGCAGCATCCTGCAGACACATGACTTCAATTTACGATTATTTTACTTAAATCCAGCATTTACTTAACAGTTTTTGGCAAAAAAAAGCCTCACAGCAAACAGGTTTGCTTAATGACCCTAAACTCCGCTATATTTGTTTAACAATCACTTTTTAAAAATGTCATAAGATTCGGTCATAAGATGTCTTGTTTTACAGCCATCATGATTTACAGCCATAATAGGCAACCCCTGTTTAAAAACAAAAAACACCTTGCTAAAACCAAAAGAAATATATTCTGTCTTTCACAAACCCTTCTCTTTGACATTTTTGAAAAATCTTTGGCTTGTCTTGCTGCTGATTTTCTGAAAATTCTTAGCATGTACTTCTTCCATATGGCCAAAGGAGAGACAGTCATTTTTCTCTGTGGTCTTTAAACAAGCACATACACTGGGCAGTTCGTGCCCTCAAAATGGCAACACAAGGGACTGAAATCAGATACGCCCCCAAAATAGATGGCTGGTGAATTCCTGACCTTGGAGCTAGGCTATGCTGTGAAAGCAAATGTAAGGACCTTTCTAGCTGTGTAGAGGGAGAAGAAACAGCACAAACCAAACCTAAGTTTTGATTTTCTGCTGGACATCCTAATACATCAATTTCGATTTTCAGGAGTGGGTTGTAACAGCTATTGTAGAAATTGCTGCTTTGCCCTCAGAAGTTCTTGATAAGAATGCAAAGGGAAACTAAGTTTCTACCATAATGACCATTTTGCCAGCCGAGAATGGATTATCTTAATCTGGAGTTTGGAATCTGAGCTTTCATTGGTTTTAAAAGAGTAAGTGCTTAGTACTTATATCATGGAGGGGGGAAATTATTGGTATTTGTTAACGGCAGGCCTGCGAATAAGAGTTTCTGTACAGAAAGACCTCAACTTACAACCATTCATTGAGCGACTGTTCAAAGTTATAATGGCACAAGTGACTGCCAGTCCTTGCATTTAAGGCCATTGCAGCAAGTCACATGAGCACTTGGCAACGTACATAAATTGGTTGCAGGGTCATGGAGTCATCCGATCGCCATTTTGCAACCTTCCCAGACAATTTCTGACGAAGTCAATGGGAGAAGCCTGCTTTGATTATCAACCATGTAATTTATTTAACAACTGCGACAGTTTTCTTAACCCTAGCAAACAAGGTTGTTAAAATCAGGTGAACTCACTTAACAACCACCTTGCTTATCCACAGAAATTCTGGTCCCGGTTGTGATACATAAGTCAAGGACTTCTTGTAGTAAGAATTGAAAAACCCAAAGACTTTAAAATGGCGCTTTCTTTTTTTCCCATTATTACGTACTACTTGCCAACTACTCCTGATATATATCCCAATGTCCTTATGTTCCTTTAATTCTTGCAGTAAACTTGCACACATACATATGGAACATATGTTCCATGCACATGCTTCAGACAGTGAAATTAGAATTTGATATGCCAAAACAAAATAGATCAGCCAATTTTACTGACAACCCCAGCATATTCCTGGTCCTGCACAGATCAGTTTACTCCGGTTGTATGCTTTCCATTGTAGTTATTTGTAGCTTTAGGGTGGAGCTTTATACTTTGGGCTCTGTCCCCCCTTCCCTATATATTGCATGTGAGTGTGCTGGTTTTTGTTTCTAGTGTTCCTGGAAAAAAAATCGGTCACATAGTAAGAAATTTGTCTAGTCTGATGTCTTAGAGACTTTAGAGGGGGGAAAAGATCAGAATATGCTCCCTTATGGATGCCCCGTCATTTTCCTGGAATAGAAAAGCTGTTCTCTCCCAGGTTTTGGAAAAGATCCAGGGGTACAGCTGGGGCAGCTGTCGGGGCGTGGAGGGAACCAAGAATCTGCTGGGACAGCACGTAAAGATCAATGCTATGCCTCTCTGGGACACATGAGTAGGAAAGGTAACAGCTTCTCCTTAACATATCCCAGTTACAGGACTGTGTAATACTCAGAGCTAAGTAGCATCAGTGGCTCGGTAACAAAGGGTTAACTAGTCTTCTCCCCCCCCCACACACACACAAAAAAAAAAAACTCCTGAAGTTTGACATTCCCCAGCAAGGAGGAATTTTCCAGGCCTAAATTCATCTCCTACCAGCAACAGCCCCTTTTTCCAAGTTTGGAAAATACTGGAAGACTGGAAATTGCAACAGCATGAAAGAGAAAGCAGAATCGAACAAGGAAGACGGGAAAGGTAAGTTCAAGTAACTTGAACTTACTTGTGAATGTGTGCAGCAGTTATGAGAGAGAATAAGTATACCTTGGACAATCAGGGAAGAAATTAGGCTCCAGAGGGCCACCCCAGTCATGGGAAGAAAGACGAGAGTTGGGATGGAGAGGAAGAAAAAACAAAGAGAAATATGAGAAGAGCAAACATTGCGGGATGAGTGTGCTTGTGTGAAGAGAGAGACAGTAGAAGCAAGTTAATGTGGCAGGGAAGAGCGTGCAGGGTTCAAATCTTCGTTTCATTGTCCATGAAATGGACCACTGCATCAGATCTCCTATTAGGAAAGTGGAAATGATCATACAACTTGCTTCATAGTATTGTAAAAATTAGGAACAGTTAACTTAAAAAAATTACCATCATGAAATTATCCAGACCACAACTATTTATCTGTGGGACATAATGTACTTTATACTGTAAAAGGAATTGTTGCTTTTTGCAATTTGGCAACAGCAGAATCTGTACTGGACACTGTAAGAATGGGGGGAAAGGCTAGGATTAAAATATCAATTAAATCAATAATGACTGGCCACTGGCCAGTTAATTCTAATTTCGTGATATTTTAAACTGGAGTAGATGATCTACCCTAGATAATTTAGTGGATTTATCTGCATGCATTGGAATACATACATATTTATTTGGGGAATAAATGTTAAAATATAATCAGCATACGATTGTTGTATCTGTACAATAAAATAACGGTGCATCATTTTAATGATAAGTGGATGATTGATCAGATAAATAATTGATTGATAAATGATTGATGCAACAGATCTGCAAATTGGTAACATACTAGAATTTCTAAAAAATCATTCTTCTTGACAAGTATATTTCCTTGACTTAGTGGAGATTACTTCTGTTGTGATTATTTCTAATTAAATATACCGCTGAGATGATCTTTACTCAAAGAGGTATTTTACCATAGTTTTTATTGCCATAATTTTTATAGTTTTGATGCTTGCTTTTAATATTTCATTATTCCCTGCTCTTAGAGTTTTAAGAAGACCTTTAAATGGAAAATGTTAGCTATCGGGTAACTCTCATTGAATGAATGAATGAAAAAATTAATCTTGTAAATGAGCAGAAAGATAAATTTTCAGGATAAAATAGGGTTAGGTGGGAAGATATATCTCTGTTTGAAAGGGGAAAAGGTTAAGGTGAGGGTCAGTACAGAAGGTACATTCATCACAAAACTTGTAAGGACCCAAAAAGAAGAAAAACTGTATTTGGGGACCCAACAGCTGATTTAAGAAAGTAAATATTAAAAGAGAAAGAGAAATAGTAAAAGGGAAAGCTGTGAGGAATAAGTGAGGAAGGGGGAGAGATAAAGGGGGAGGATGATACTGAACTAGAAGGAGGTGCTATGAATTAGTGAGGGTGGCAGGCACGGATGGAGAACTGAGAGGCAAGGAAAGACAGAGAGAGAGAGAGAGAGGGAGAGGGAGGGAGGGGGAAAGGGAGAAGGGTGAGGGTGGCTGGGAAGAACGGCACAGCTAAGTCCTCCCTGGCACTTGCCCCAGCTTTCTCTTCCCTCCACCATCCCACTGGTGCTGAGCCACCACCATCTGTTACTCTGGAACGGAGTGTGCGGAGGACGGGTACAGGCAGGATGGGGGCTCCACCAGAAGGTAGGTTTTCCAGCCAGAAGCAAAATTGCTCAATGGGCATTTGTAGCAGTGGGGGCGGAAGAAAGGGGTTGGCCCATAAAATGGAAGCTTAGGATGCACTCGGAGAATGGCCGGGGTGTTCAACCTTCTTCAAACTGCTATGCTCCTCATAGGTTGGATTGTAGCCCCTATTGTTTCCAGAAGGCCAGAGATTATGGGAATTGTAATCCGGTACATCTGAAGGATTTTTCCAGGCCAGGGGGAGTTCGTGTCCACTTCCATCCCTATGATTGTTATGCAAAGTAAATGGGGAAAACATTTATAGGGTAGATTTTACTATAAAATGGAGTGCAAATGGAGAGACTTAATTACTTTATGTCAAGGAAGAGGTACTATTTGTCCTGGATCCCCAAATATTGTCCCCAATCCTGTAGAATGAACCACAGTGTTAAATATCCAGGTGGCAAATCTAGAAGAAAAAAGCTTTTTGGTGACATCTGAACATTTTTTGAGAGAGATAAAAAAAATAAAAATAAGCGGATATATGTACCTATAAATACCTGATGCTGGATAGAATTTCAGATTCAGCTTAAATTATTGTAACATTGTTTTTGTTTCATTTCCTCTATCAAATTTTTATTACCTTTCCTCCAAAGAAGTCTGGGTGGCTTCTGTGGTTCTCTCTAACCCCCATTTTATTCTGACCACAACCCAATGACAGGAAGGAAAAACTAAAGAGACAATGCAGCCTGAAGATTTAGAAAGCAAGACTATAATTTGTGGGGCAGATATTTGGGGGGGGGGGAGGGAGATGGTTGCATGTGGCAGCTATAATGGCTGGGAGTTTCTGAACCGTAGATAGCAGTTGGAGAGTATTTCTCAACCTTAACAGCTTGAAGATGTGTGGACTTCAATTCCCACAATTCCTTAGCCACTATGCCGGCTGGGGAATTCTGGGAGTGACTAGAGTAAAGCGATGCTTCAGTTAGAAAATTGATCAAGGCCTCTGCTATTAACAAAAAGGTCATCAAATGATTGTGAAGTTTATTAAAACTAATCCTTGGATGGGTCAATGTGGTTTAGATTTGGGGGTGATTTGGGATGCTTCTCAGTGGACAATTCTTAGCATTGCTAGTTAAAAAAAACAACAAATGGATTTTTTGTGGGTTTTTTAAAAGACAAAAGAGCCAGTATGATCATTGAAGGGAATATGTGCAGAAATTTCTGCATGTAAAAAATGGGGGGAGGGTGTTTTCAATGATATGTTGGTGGCTACCATCTTGACCTTTTTGACCTCCCTGCCATCCATAGTTACATGGAAGCTTGGACTTGCTTTTTAGTAAAATTCCAACAGGTTGATTGGATAAGAAAGGCCCCTTCTAAAAGAAAGCAGTATGCTGGGGTGCATTTGAAGGGATTGGTGTGTTGTTGCATTTGTATAAGCAGGATTTGGTTGTGTAAATTATTTCAATTTGATCTGGATAAAGTTACTAAGTGCTGATCATACACTGATGGGGAAAGCTGCCAAAATTATTTTTTCTACATGTAAGAAACAGTGCCTGAATTTGCTTTCTCCACCTCTTCTCTCCCCATTCCTCTGCTTTGTATAATATACGACCTCTTGGTTATGCATCAAAAGACAGGGAATATCCCACAATCCATATTTGTAAGCCAATTTGGGAACCTTTGTTTCTCCCTAATGAACAGGGAAGAAATTAATAATGATTCAGGCGATCTGAAACCAAAGGAAAACTGAAGTCATTAAACTTTAACCAGCTTTGAATGATTTGGAACTGAGATTCTAAGTGTCATGGACAGTTAGGGGTGCCAAATTCTTATTCTGAACCATCGAAGAAAATTTGGGTAGATCTTGGAAAGCTGGTAAGTCAGTTCCTAGAATTTGCTTTGCCTCCACCCTGCTGTGAGAAACAAAGAGAGAGCCGCCATCTGGCAATTTTGACCAGTTTTTAAAAAACTTTTCTTTCTCATTTTTTCTTAGTTGGATGGAAAACTGCAGGCAGTGCAGCCAAATTTCAGAGGCAGAAAGGAGCCATTTCCCCTAGAACTAATCCTGATTCGCCTTTGCAGCCCAACCCGGCCCTTGCCAGCTCCAGCTGGGAACTGCCTTCTCTCCCCTCTTCTTATTTTCCAGATTCTTTTTTCTTTCTTTTTTCTTTGGAAAAAGCAGTTGGAGCCAAAATAAAATTAAATTTTAGTGCTGGATCTCAGTGGTAGGAGGGGAGTTTAATGTTGTCCTAGAGGCTATAAGGAATAGAAAATGGAAGAAACGGCTATTCTGTTTGGAGCCTGGATGAGGAGTAATTTTGGTAGGATGAAATATCTGACTAATGTGTGAGTTGTTCAGAGCCATTTAAACTGAGAAATACACAGTTTAGAAAGGCAAATATATACTTCGTGGCAGGACTGCTAAATCTTTAACAACTTCTGGCAAACAACGGTTCAACAGATGCAAATTTTGGATGCACTGGCGGAGAAACTGTATCTGCTGATGGTATCACATTATTCAGAGAAATTAAAAACAATATGGGAGCTGGACATAGCTTAAAACAAACAACTCCAAAATGCAGGAATGAGCAAGAATATGTAGCAAATGCAATGCAATATAACTAAATGTAAATGCTAAGATGCAAAAAAAAGGGGGGGGGGTAGTTGGATCTTCAAATATAAAAATATAAATATAAAGTCAATTTGATCTAGCAGTTAAGATATTGGCCTAGAAACTAGGAGGTTGTAAATTCTGGTCCTGCCTTAGGTATGAAAGGGTGACTTCCTGAGCCAGTCATTCTCTCTCAGCCCAACCTACCTCACAAGGTTGTTGTTGTGGGGAAAATGGGAGGAAGAAAGAGTATTATGTATGTTCGCTGACTTGAGTTATTTATAAAAATGAAAAAACATAACAATTAACAAATATATAAGCAATTTCTCTGGAATATCTGTTACTCTGAGGGATACTTTGGGATCCTGGTGGGATTACCAAATTCCCACTGTTGAAATACTATATGCCTCCCATTTTCCAATATGACACTTTGTAGATATGAGATTCCAACTTAGGGGTCCCATTTTAAACGAAGCTTAGAAACTCTCTGGACTTAGAAACCCTCTGGACTTCTATCTCCCCTCTAGCTTCTTTCATTTTAGTGGCCAGCATCATTAACCATATTGATTGGAGGCTCCTGAGAGATCAGGCCATCTGAAAGGCTGCAGTTCGGATTTAAACATGTTATTATGAACTAGAAAAAAAAGGACAATTGAAAGAAGAAGCAATATTAATTGTCCTTGGAGGAAATGTTACAATGCTTGGGCTTGTAAAAGAAGGCATGATATATAATAACACGATATATT